TTTCGCCAGAGTGACCTCTGGTGCGGGCTCGGTGGGGTCCCCCGCTCGTTGAGCCCGAAGCGGCAGCAGCGGCCTGCGCGCCCAGTTTGGCCACCCCGCGTCCCATGTGACGCCGCGCACCAAAGGTCACTCCTGCCCAGGGTCACTCCCACGTGTAGCCTGAAGTCGGGCCTGTCCCTCTATAGGGGGAAATTTCGAAAATAGTCAAAAATAGTCTGGGTACTTTTAAAATTTTTCTTCCAAGATCCCCCTGTAGGGGGACAGGCCCGACCTGAGTGTAGCCGATCACCCCTTCTGCGTGCATGCACAGGGTGAGATGGCAGCTGGCCCGAGAGACGTTTCCGGGGCACAGGGGCCGAGGGAGCCCCAGGGAGGCCCGCGGCGCAGCCCTGGGGAGTCCTTCGTGCCCGATCTGGCCACAGATTTGCCCCCCCCCCCCCCCCCCTGGCGGGTGGCCCCGCTGGGCCGACTCGCTCCTATGTGTGATTCATCGATCACGCAGCCCGTTACGAAACCCGACACTTTGTCGCGGAGGGCGTTCCCTTGTCAGCCACGCGCGGAGGGGGGTAGGGGGAGGGGGGAAGGCTTCTTAGAAGCATCCCTCCTTCTTAGAAGGCGCGGGCCTTGCCTGTAGATGTAGGGCCAGCGCCTTCTAAGAAGCAGCCTCCTTCTAAGAAGCCTTCCCTCCTCCCTCTCCCCCCTTGTGCGCGTCGCCAACCCCCGTCCCCTTTGCCCGACCCGAGTGGTCCTCGCCGCCTAATTTTTGAGTAGAAGGTCGACTGCAGAAGTGATTCACCCCAACATCGTTTTCCGTCGAGTCTACTAGCAAAAACGAATCATGTTCGTAGATCTACGGGGTATTCTAAATTTCTTTCGCAGATTCGACGAACATGCCAATTTTGGGGTGCCCTTGGGGGCGACTCGGGCAGCCTCATAACGCTCTCGGCGAGGCGCGTGGCTGCTGGAAAGCAGCCCCGAGGCCGCAAAACCAGTCTCGGAAAACTGCCCCCCAGCCGGTGGAATTTCCATCTCGCCCTACGAGGGCGACGAGGAGGAGGAGGAGGAGGAGGAGGAGGAGGAGGAGGAGGAGGAGGAGGAGGAGGAGGAGGAGGAGGAGGAGGAGGACTAGTGTAAACCCAAGACTCACCAACGATATTGCAATCAACCCTCCCTCCAAGTTCCCTCTTCACAGGCCCCTGCAAGGTTCCATCTTCACTCCAGAAAGTGCCCCGTTGGAAGAGAACCGTTTGAAAATCCTGAACTGTGCCAGAACACTATTTCTGGGACTTCAATGCCGCGAATCACCGTTACGTTTGCACCATTCCTGGGACTCCAACACCGCGAATCCACGTACATGTTGTGCCCTGATATTTTGACACCGTGCCAAAATACCATTTCTTTGACGTTAGCCATGGAGAATCCTTGAAACTGCTGAAATCTCTTAAAACGAATGTGCGCGGCGTTCAGGCGAGAACCACATTTTGAAAAGGAGCCGCCTTCCATCCGTTAAGCTCTTTAACATGCGTGCGGCGCTAAGGTGAGAGCCACATGTTGAAAAGGAACCGCCCCCTCGATCCGTGAAGCTCCTGCAAGATTGTAAGACGAATGTGCGCGGCGCTAAAGGTAGGGCCACATTTTGAAAGCGGCCCGCCCTCCATCCAGAATTTCTTGCGCATTTCCAGGACGAGTTTGCGCGACGCCATGGCGAGAGCTACATATTGAAAGCGGCCCGCCCTCCCTCCGTGAAGCTGCTGCAAGTTCTGAGCTTCAGGATCATACATGGTGAGGAAGTCTCGGGCGGGACGCCCAGCCTGCCCCACCAACGCGCCTCGGGGTGCGACAGGGAAAAAGGAATGGGGGATGACCAGGAAGCGGAGAAGGAGAAGGAGAATGAGAAGGAGGAGGCGGAGGATGAGGAGGAGGAGAAGGATGAGGAGGAGGAGGAGGGAGGAGGAGGGAGGAGGAGGAGGAGGAGGAGGAGGAGGGGAGGGGCGGCCCGAGATGTCGCGGGATTTTGTGGATGCCGGTTCTGGTCATGGTCCGTGCCAGCCGCTGGCGATTCATGAGGATGATCCACGAAATGGCAATAACCAGGACGAGCGATGACCAGGACGAGCGATGACCAGGACGAGCGATGACCAAGATCGACACCAGCGCTTCAGGTTTTCCTTTTCTTTCCCGCAGGAGCTGGCTTGAGGGGAAATCGATGTTTCACGTACGCTTCGTTGCTGGGCGTGCGCTTCGTTGCAAGTTGCTCTCCGGATTGGCGGCGGCTGGCCCCAGACGACCTTCGATCCATCCATCTATTTGTGAGGCCACCTGCATCAAAACTGGCCTCGGGGACCCCCCCCATAGCCCGCAGGAGACGACGACGCAGACGACGACGCGGAGCGCCACGGCCACCTCGATCACGCTCACCTCCACGACCACGACAGCCACGGAGACGACGCTGTACGACTGCCAGGACGAGCTGTGGGCGGCGGGCACGCTCTGGTCGGCGGCTGGGCGCGGGGAGCCCTGGCTGGGGGCGGGGGTGGGTGGTGCTGCCCGCAGCAGGGGTCCAGACAGTGGGGGGCCCTCCGCTGCAGAAGCCGTGAGCCTCGCGGCGTGGGAGGCCGCGCCGCCCATGCACGCACCCTGCCGCCCGCCGTTCTTTGTCCGCTCGCGGGCCCGCATGTTCCGACCGCTTCCCCAGGGGGGACTTTTCGTCCCGGAGTCAGTCTTCGAGTGGCCTCGGGGCCCCATCACCACCCCCAGAGGTCTGAGTCCAGTGATCGAAGGAGAAACAGCGCCATCGACACGAACTTTTTGGCGCTCCGCGCGGACTTCCTGGATCCGCGCCGGGCCCCCCTGGCGGCGCCTCCGGCGCCGCCCCTGGCGCGCTCCGCGCCCCCAGGGAGGGGGTTCCGGCGCAGATCCAAGAAAGCCGCGCGGAGCGCCAACGAGTTTATGTCTCTGGCGTTTCTTCCTTCTAAGTGGACACGCGAGGGGACTGAAGAAGGCATACCGTCGGAGATCTGGGGAGGCAGAGCAGGCGCGCCCCGAGAGCAGGCAGAGGCCACCCCGGCGACGCGCGATCGCGGTCGCCCCAGTCGGGGGGAACAAGTCGGCACCACCCAAACGTGCTTATGCTATGTGTGCGTCGGCCCGCACGGGCGACTCGCGCGCTCAGACATCATCTAGTATGTGATCGTTTTTTTATTCATTGCTTTGCCGATCGGCGCGGGCCCCCAAACCCCTCTCCCCCCCTGCCCCCCTGGAGTGGATCTTGGCTGTTCTTGGCGCCAGTTCAGACAGGTGGAGACTCCTTCATAGGACGCACTGCTGCAAGCAGCCGCGCTAAGCAGAGGTCCGGAGCCAGACCCCCCTCCTCCTCCCCCCCCTTCCGCCCAATGTCGGAACGCCGAGAAAAAAACAACGCTCACTATGTGTGCGTCGGCCCCGCACGGGCGACGCGCACGCTCAGACATCATACAGTATGGGCTCGGCGGCGGACGCTTTCTGGCGGTACCGCTCCAGTAGCGACATACTGCACGGCCAAGGCGTTTCACAGGGATGTCCGTTCTCCGGCGCAGGGCTGCGCGCGTGCCGCCAGGGGCTGCGCGTCGGGCGTCCGCTCCTGGAGCCCCTGAGATCGGAGCGGAGCAACAGCTGCCGCGCCGGGTGGTTTCGTCTCGCCTTGGGCCTGGGACCATTATGGCTCGGCCCGGCTGGGAAAGTGCAGCAGAAGGATGGGGTCTGGGGCTCCCGTCGTGATTTTCTGCGATGCTGCACTCTTCCGCAGCGTCGGGTCTCCGGGAGGAAGCTGGCGCGCAGCCGCACGCAGCCAGCACAGTACGGCTCAGGAGCCATGCGCCAGTCTTTTCGAGCGGCGCTTGGGCAATTCATCGAGAGACGCAAGCTGCCCTACCTTTGTGGGCCAGGTCAGGAGCCGTGCTCCTGTAAGACTTATATTGGCAGCAGTGGCAGCAGAGGGATCGCCATTGTCAGGAGGGAAAAAAACACACAGACACAATTAATCGTCGATTCCCCAGAAAATATAGGAAAATATGGGAAGTGGGGGGGAAGACAAAAAACCAGAAAATATGGGAAAATATGGGGAATCTTTTTATTTGTGTGTATTTATTTGTGTGTCCTGGGGCCCCCTTCACATTGGGCCCACGCTTCGTGGAGCGCCCACCTGTCGGCGGTGGTGTCCGGGCCGCTCCGGAGATTTTCAGGTCGGGGAGCCTCTTCGTGGCCAGGGCTCGCAGGGGCCATCACAGCCGCCTTCCTTGTTCCTGACCTGGCGTTCCCTGTGGTACACCTTAGGCGATGCTTAAGAAAACCTAAGTTTTCGGCCAGAGTCTCGACTATTCTTAAAGTTTCAATGTAAATCCCAAGATTTTGATAGAAGTTCTGGGTTTTTATTCAAGTTCTGAGACTACGAATTTCTTAACCCATGATTTCTTAAGCATTTCGCGGGGTGTACTACGACGGCTGCAGACACGACATCGTCTTCGCCACGCACAGAACAAGGGCGCGATCATGAGCACTCGAACGTCCGCGCGGATTCCTTGGGTCGGTGCTGGGCTCACCTGCCATGGCGGCGCGTTTGGCGCCGCTACTGGCGCGCTTCGCGTGCCATGGGATGGGGGTCCAGGGCCAATTCCAAGAAGTCCTTGCGGAATTGGACGCTTGTGCGTAATGTCTGTTTGTTTTACGCTTGTCGAGCTGACAGCCGTCGTGTGCTCCTCTGTCGTCGTCGTCGTCGTCGTCGTCGTCGTCGTCGTCGTCGTCTTCCTCTTCCTCTTCCCGTTCCGCATCCACTTCAGTGTAAGCCGCTTTGGCTTGAGTCAGCGTGGCTCAATATTTCAGTGGATGCTTGACATCCGTCCAGGGTCCCGATCATGTGGAGCATCCCTTCAAGCGGCAATCAAGAAGTGCGGGAAGACAAGACAATGGATCGCAGCGCTGCAATTGCTCCGCGAAGTTTCTCAGCTTCGTGTGGAAGGCAGCAGGGGCCACTACACAGCGACTGTCGACGCATGCGGAAAAAGCAGGCAATGGCAACTGGCGTTGACACTATTCAGCGAAATGACGGATACGGCGGTGGAGCCTGGCGTCATCAGCTACAACATCGGGATCAGCGCGTGCGAGAAAGGCAAACAGTGGAAGCGGGCTCTGTTGCTGCTCAGCGAGATGTGGCAGGCGGAAACGCAACCCAACGCCGTCAGCTACAGTACTGCGATGAGCGCGTGTGCGAGAGGCGCGCAGTGGCGGTGGGCCGTGGTGCTTCTCGGTACGATGTGGAAGGCGACGCTGGAGCCGAACGCCACCTCTCTTCGTGCAGTCGCTCCAGCCCCGAGCGCGAGCGGTAATGGGGAATGGGGGGTGAAGAAGAGGGCCCTCTTTTGGAGCCAGTTGGTGCCCAGAAGGGGGCCTTGAAAGGCCCCTTCAGGGCCTCGTCGGCACCCCCCCTTTGGGCCACCCCCGTGTGGCCACCCGCCCGAGCCCCGAGGGGGGGTGGGGGAGGGGTAGACCGGCTCGCCCGGCCCACCGACGGGCCCCGCAGGGCCCCAGAGCGACTCCTGAGCGACCCGTAGGGGGTGGCCTTCGGACGGCCCAGGCGGTCCGCGAGGGGGCTCCGAGATTCGGGTGGCGCACCCCGGGGGTGAAGTCCGGGGGGAGGAGGCCCTCGCAGGAGGCGGCGGGGCTTCTCGGACCCCCCCGCGGCTTCTATTGTTTGTTATGTTTTTTTGTGTGTATTTTGTTGTTGTTGTTGTTGTTGTTGTTGTTGTTGTTGTTGTTGTTGTTGTTGTTGTTGTTGTTGTTGTTGTTGTTGTTGTTGTTGTTGTTGTTGAAGATTATTACTTCTAAAGAATAATTATTGTTGGGGCCCCTGGTGCACGACCCCCCCGCCGCGCCTAGGCCGCAGCCACATTTTCATCATTTTCGTGAGGAAGTCTCAAGCAAAACGGGTTGGTCCGGATCCGGTTGTTTTGTTACGGCCCGCTTTCCCTTGCAAAAAATAAGTTAAAGTGGACATTTCTTGTTCTAACATAACCAAACTTCAAGAATCCCTTGCAAAAAATAAGGTAAAGTGGACATTCGCGCGCGCAAGACGAAATCCTTCCAAAAGCTTAGTGTTCGGAGCGATTTTAAAATAAAAACATCAAAAAACCAATGGTTTTTCAACAAAAAAATGTCAAAATCTCATCCCGCGCGCTCTTGCGGATTCGTAGGAAACCCAACACTTTTTAAACATTTCTGTCAAACGGGCTTTTGCGAGCAACTTTTTCGAACTTCTGCGACAACGGTTGCGCACCTGCCAGGGCCATCATCCCTGTCAAATGATACCATGCGGGACACATTCGTTTTTTCTTCGCGCGCGCACGCCGTCGTCGTCGGCCGCGGGGGCCTGAATAGTAGCCACGGTCGTCCGCATGCCACGAAGTGAAGTGTCCGAACGTCATAGGGCGGGAAGCTGGGTGTGGGTGGTGGCGAAGAGTCGTTTGGAAATTTGGTAGAGCTTGAACCGGCCCCCCCACAAAGTGGGGGTATTGCCCGCCTCCTATGAAAACCCTTGCACTGGTGAGAACGGAGTGTCCCCACGTGCTAGTAATTGTTGTTGTTGTTGTTGTTGTTGTTGTTGTTGTTGTTGTTGTTGTTGTTGTTGTTAAACACTATTACTTCTAAAGAATTATTATTGTTGGACCCCCTGGTGCACGCCCCCCGCCCAAAACCTAGGCCGCAGCTACATTTTCATCATTTTTCTGCGAAAGCTTCAGAAAAGTGGATTACCCCCGGATCCGGTTTTTTGTTGACGTTCGTTTTCCCTTGCAAAAAACAATAGAAAATGAAAATTCTTGTTCTTACTTGATCAAATTGCAAGAATCCCTTGCAAAAAATAAGGTAAAGTGGACATTCGTGCGCGCAAGACGAAATCCTTCCAAAACCTTAGGTTTCGGAACGATTTCAACATAAAAACATCAAAAACCCAATGGTTTTTTAAATAAAAAATTGTCAAAATCTCATCCCGCGCGCTCTTGCGGATTCGTAGGAAAACCAACACTTTTTAAACAATTTTGTCAAACGGGCTTTTGCGAGCAACTTTTTCAAACTTCTGCGACAACGGTTGCGCACCTGCCAGGGCCATCATCCCTGTCAAATAATACCATGCGGGACACATTCGTTTTTTCTACGCGCGCGCACGCCGAAATCTCCAAAAACCATGGGGGTTTTTAAGAATTTTAGCACCGCGCATCATAAAATCACACGAATCGCACCGTAGGTCCTCGAAAAACACCTGCACGACTTTTCAAAATTTCCACCCGCGCGCGCTGTCCGAATCCTAAAAAAAACCAATGGTTTTCCAACATTTATGTTACATGTGCTCGCGCGAGCTACTTTCGCACGCTCTTGCAACGGGGTTCGCGCGCCTGCCAGGGGCCAGAATCCCTTGCGGTTGCGCCATAGGTTGCGCCCTCGGCCGCCGAGAATAAAACGCCCTCCTATTGGTTGCGCCATAGGTTGCGGGTGTGTACTCCACGCCAGTGTAGTATCCACGATCGTCCGCGCGCCACGAAGTGAAGTGTCCTGACGTCATAGGGCGGGAAGCTGGGTGTGGGTGGTTCCCGAAAGTCGTGTGGATGTTTGGTAGAGCTTGCATTGCCCCCCCACGAAGTGGGGGTATTGGCTGGCGTCGCATGAAAACCCTGGCACTGGGGAGAACACTGAGCGTTCGGGTAAAATGATTATAGTTGTTGTTGTTGCTGTTGTTGTTGTTGTTGTTGTTGTTGTTGTTGTCGTAGTTGAACATTATTACTTCTAAAGAATAATTATTGTTGGGACCCCTGGTGCACGACCCCCCTCCAAAACCTAGGCCGCAGCTACATTTTCATCATTTTTTCGCGAAAGCTTCAGAAAAGTGGATTGGTACCGGATCCGGTTGTTTTGTTGTAATCCGTTTTCCCTTGCAAAAAACATCATAAAATGAAAATTCTTGTTCTTACTTGATCAAATTGCAAGAATCCCTTGCAAAAATAAGGTAAAGTGGACATTCGTGCGCGCAAGACGAAATCCTTCCAAAACCTTAGGTTTCGTAACCATTTTAACATAAAAACATCAAAAACCCAATGGTTTTTTTTTAATAAAAAATTGTCAAAATGTCCTTCCGCGCGCTCTTGCGGATTCGTAGGAAAACCAACACTTTTTAAACAATTTTGTCAAACGGGCTTTTGCGAGCAACTTCTTCAGGTGCTTTGAACTTCTCCAACAACGGTTGCGCGCCTGCGAGGGCCACCATCCCTTGCAAAAAATGAGACGACGTGCACATGCGCGCGGCCGCCGCGCGCGCATGTGCACTTCGTCTGGCTGTGCACGCGCGCGTTGGGCACTGAGAGTTAGGATCATAGCGCCATGAGTCTATGAGCAATGCATGCGTCATCCTTGGGACTGTATAACATCAGTGTAACAAATGTACTTCTGTAATCGCATCCCCACGAATTTGCCCCAAAAATGTGACCAACTATCTTGGCACTGCGTACCATCTCACGTGTACCGTGTACCACATCATATGTAACAGATGTGATCAACCTCTGTGGGGGTGTACCCCACGCCAGTGTAGTAGCCAGGGTCGTCCGCGCGCCACGAAGTGAAGTGTCCCAACGTCATAGGGCGGGAAGCTGGGTGTGGGTGGTCTCGAAGAGTCGTTTGGATATTTGGTAGAGCTTGAACGGCCCCCCCAAGAAGTGGGGGTATTGGCTGGTGTCGCAAGAAAACCCTGGCACTGGGGAGAACACTGAGCGTTCGGGTAAAATGATTGTTGTTGTTGTTGTTGTTGTTGTTGTTGTTGTTGTTGTTGTTGTTGTTGTTGTTGTTGTTGGCGTGTGTGTGTGTGTGTGTGTGTGTGTGTGTGTGTGTGTGTTTTCGGGGCAGGCTTAGAAAACGTCTTTGAAGGCCAGAGGCCTTCCGAGCCTTCTGAGAAGGCCCGCTCCCTCCCGCGGGCGCGCCGAAAGATGGCCCAGCAGGCCTCCAAGGCTCCCCCCAGGCCTCCGAGGGGGTGCTGAAGAGATGACCTTCGGCGTGCCCCACAAGGGCCGCAGGAATAATCGCGTGACCTCCCCCGAGGCTCAACACAGTGGAAATCCCTCGGACTTGTCAGCGTGCCTGGCATCCGCCACCGCCACCCACAAGAACGTCTTCAGATGGGCTTCCCAGGCTTCGAACAGCGCCCTGGGGGCACGAGGGCCCCAAGCGAGCCCAAGGGGGCCCTGCGCAGGCCCCAGGCAGGACCCAGGCTGGCCCCGAGAGCGCCCCGAGATTCGGATCGGTGCAGAGTCCCCGCAGTCTGTGCAGAGCCCCCGGCTCTGTGAGATCAGCAGGGCCGATGCCGAGTCCCTGAGTCCATGAGACCACCTGCTGTCACTAAATTTGCCATGTAAGCACGCTCGGCTGCCAGCTCGTGCGGACCTGTCCACAGGTCCACACTGGTCTATCATACAATGCTGGGGGCAGCGCGTAAGACCTGCCAATCGTGGCAAAACCAGGGGGGGCCCGCCAGGAGGGCCTTGGGAGGGCCTGCGCCTCCCAGACGGCCCAAGCGAGTCTCAGAGGCCGCCAAGTTCGCCGAAGACGCCTCCAGAACGGCCGAGGATGGCCTCAAGACGGCCCAAGATGGCATCCAGACGGCTTCAGAGGGTCCCAAGATAGCCCAAGGCGGCTTCCAGACGGAAATCCTTCCAAAAGGTTCCAAGGGCGCTCCGAGAGCACTCCCAGCAGGGCCTCCCGGTGCAACCATACATATGTTTATACATATATTTACACATAGATTATTACTACTACTACTACTACTACTACTACTACTACTACTACTACTACTACTACTACTACTACTCCTACTCCTACTCCTACTCCTACTCCTACTCCTACTCCTCCTCCTACTACTACTACTACTACTACTACTACCTCTACTTATACCTCTACTTACACCTCTACCTACCTCCACCCCTACCTCCACCCCTACCTCCACCCCTACCTCTACCTCTCCCTCTCCCTCTCCCTCTCCCTACTACTACTACTACTACTACTACTACTACTACTACTAAATACTAAGTACTAAGTACTATCTACGAACTACTAACAACAACAACTACTACTACTACTACGACTACTACTACTACTACTACTACTACTACGACTACTACTACTACTAAATACTAAGTACTAAGTACCAAGTATCAAGTACTAAGTACTAGGTACTAACTACTACGACGACGGCGACTACTACTATTATTACTACTAACGACTAAATACTAACTACTAATACTAAATTCTA